ATATAGTGATGAAGTCAGTTGTTAATATAGGATTAATATACCATCGATTTCTACAGGTTCTACGATTATTACCAGGACCGACATTGGAAGAAAGGCAGCCGTTGCCTCCAGGACTACAAAAACGTAAGCTTGCTTCTGTTAGAATGTTGTTAATCGGCTAGGACACCTGGGGTCGGTTTAGCGAATGGTGAATAGCGCTTAAATCGGTTAAATCCTTAACCAGCAGTTAAAATCCATGCTAAACATACTCTACTTTCAAAAATGGCGGAAGTTCACGACCGCCAATATCGGGGGACTAGTGACGAATCATGGAAACGAGATATCAAAGGCCTTACATCTAGAAATTACTATGAAGATAGCATGTATGGCAATGTTCAAAATTTTGAAAGACGTTTGCTAGACACCATCGAAGTTTACTATACGGAGGCTGGCCATCGAGACCCTACCCGACCAGTGCTCTGGTCGGCGATCGTGACAAATTAGGCCATTTTACAAAGGTCGTGAATATGGTGAGGATTATTGTAACCATCCTTGCAACTGACCCCAGTGGCCAAACTGTTCGACGGACTTCAAAATCCATACAACATGCTTTTGATGCTCCATCGAGCAAGATCGAACGCCATCGAAAAGGTATTACCGAATTGGCGAAGAATGCTGGATCTCCACCCAACAGTACTTGACAGTGTTAGTAATCAAGCTGTTCTTCTAACAAAGGCTTTATGTAACGGAGTTATGCGTATAATCAAGCTGCTTGTTGGGAGACCCAGCATTTTTTGCGTTTGACCACATTGAATGGAGCATCAAACATTGAGTCCAGTTTGAAGGCGTTTGGCCATCAAATATTGTTTGACGTCATCTAACATTATTATTATGACGGTGTTTGTTAATCAAACATAGCAAGACAAGAAAACAACGATGAAACTTTCTTAAGGAGTTCAGCATTGTAATTTATTTTAGAATATAAATGATCAAATGTGCTAATTCCTGCAGTACCAGTTTATTATTTTTGTCTATAGGGTCCTCTGGTGTCAATGATAATAATGTTGGTAATCCAAAAGTCACTCTGGTGTATTTTATTGGTGGATGTACTTACGCTGAAATTTCCGCATTACGCTTCCTCTCTCAACTAGAAAATAGTAAGTACAAAATATAATCATTTTTGTCGACATTTATTTGATTTTTTTAGCAGTCTGCTTGTACGTGTTTTTACTTTTTTTTCTGCTTTGATTCAGTATAGTTAGCCCTACGTGGCTGGGGTCGTGATGGGGGAAGACATGGGCTCTCTTTTCTTCCCACTCSCAACCAATCCCTCTCCTTTCTTTATCCCTTCCACTCTCTTGTTATCAGTAACCATCTTGTCCTGTAGTCTATTATTGTCTATCTTTTTGGCCTGTTGTTTGTTCAGTTTTTCCTGTATGTTTATACGGTCCAGTGTTTATTTGAATCTAATTTTCTATCATTCTAGGTCCTACTGACTTCATTGTTGCTACAACAAAAATAATAACCGGAACGTCGTGGATCGATTCGATGATGGAAAGTGTTCCAAACCTAGACGCATCAAATCCATTTAGCTAGATAGGTCATTAAGATAGCGAAGCAATGTGAAGTAGAAAGTATTCATTTCTAAAAAAAAGACCTCATTTATCTTCATCTCTTTTAATTTTCGAACAAATTTGGCTTAGTGAAAACACTGCATACGGCTGTAAAGTACCATAGTTTTGTGGCAAACGGATAAACAGATTTTATGGCAAATAACCCATTTTTCATAGGATAGCTATGAATTCATACAAATATCAAATATTTCATTTCAATAGTGGTCCAAAGGGCACTCTTGACCAAAATAAAAATAATAAATGCAATTT